TTTTTTTCGGTATGGGTGTTCATGCAGATGTATAGAACAGTGAAGAGCACTGACAGAGGAACAGATATTTGGACTTTTCTTCAAAGAACCCCATCCCTCATTGATCTTCCATTATTCTCTTTGTTTTTTGTTTTGGGCATGCGATTATTTGAGGATGAAAAGTTCTCTAGCAGTTGCTTCAAGACACCAACCAAAGACCCAAACAAAAAGAACAAAAAAAAAAAAAGGGGAAAATCGTACTCACTCGCTTAAGACCATAGGTGAATAATTTTCTGGGTATGCCTGAATTATTGCGAGTGGGTTGCAGGTCAAGGGCAGACAAATAAGGGTCTGAACGAAAGGACAGAGGTTCTTGAAGTTGAGAAAGCTAATCAACCAAACCCTTCTTATTCCCTCAACGCGTCACCACCACCACCACCTGCTCTGGCATAAGCAGCAAGGAGGATGCGACCATCTGAAGATTTTTCTAGTTTGTCTGCATTTAATAAGAGCTAGCAATTTATTGCAGAAGTTTGTGTCTTTCATAGGTACGTTACTTTTCTAGCAACAATAATTTTTTGAATACAATGTTTGCTATGCATTACATAACATTAGATGGCAAGATGTGGGGCTCTTTGGCTAGCTTTGCTTTAATGGATGGAAATAGTAGTGGTTTTACTTTTTTGAGGGAGGAAAGTGAAGAAAATGAAAGACAGGATGCGTTTGAAACTTGTTTGCAGACTAAAGAGAGAGAAATAAAAAGATAAGACATATATATGTGTATTAATTAAAACAGGTAAAGAAATTTTTTTTTTTTAAAATAGAACATGGAAATAAATGACAGACTAGAGTAAAGAAAGTCAAACAGGTGCCATAGATATGCACATCAAACTAAGATAAGAAAGTGAATAAAATAATGCATGGGTACGCATATCAAATTTTAGAGAGAAAAGTGAAAAAAGGGCATAAAAATGCATATTAAAATAGAAAAAATGATCAAAAACATAACGCTTGAGTACGCGTCAAACGAGAAATTCGAGTTGTCAGTTTAATAGATGTCATGTGTTAGAATCTTATTAGTTGATAGCATGGATATTCAGCACCCCAGATATGAAGTAACGGTACCTTAGAAAGATCCATATAGGGTTGGGATACCCTAACTTCCATTGTTAGGGATGAAATAAGTGAGAGATAGGGACAAAATTGGGAAAGAAAAAAATAATAAAAGAAAAAATAAGACCTACAACAGAGTTTAGTGCAAAATAGAGAGAAATAGAAAGAAAGTCACCAAACTTAGTAAATAACGACGTTGAGAATCTAAGTCCAACCCATATATAATATAGTGCAGTAAATTAAGCAATCTCAACTATTTTGGAATTTACTATTTTTAATCATCAATTTATCCTTCTAAAACTTAAGTTATCAGATGAAAACACATGAATAACTAATATACATAGAGTTTCTTTACGTATACTATAGAGAGAGAGAGAGAGAGAGAGAGAGAGAGAGTTACTGATACCGTATTATTATAGAACTGTTTTTAATTACAAATTTATCTTCTAAGTCCAATCTGAAGATTGATTTATTTATAACAAGTTTATCAAAACATGACTATTGCCACGGTTCCAACACCAAAAAGTATACTAATCATGTCAAGATTTTATTTATTTACTAATCATTATGGTATAACTTTTATAGTTTAGTTTCCTTATTGGATTTTACTTGGCAGAAAGCAACATTTGTAAAAATTTATCCATACAATAATTAAACTCCTACTTATTATATCAATGAAAAAAAATTATTATACAAATTAATAATTATTATAGTTTAAAAATTCTGAAAAAGAAGTAGGTAATTACACACACACACACACGCAGCAACTTGGTTTGATTGAAGATATGAGTGCCTCTTTGTAGATTCGTATGATTTTCCTCAGCGTGAACAAAGGACAATTGCAGTTATATGGATCAGGAGTGGTAAGCATAGCAGTCAAAAGGCCACCAGTGCTAGTGCCAGCCTCCACATCAAAATAGTCAGCTATCCTTGCAGTTGGGTCCTTTTTCTACAATTCTCAACCAAGAAAAATGCAATCAGAAGTTGTGGAGGTAGGTTTTCGCCAACCTCATGAGAGTTGTCTGAATAATTTTATACAACAATTGATATTTCTGTACGTTTTTATTCCGAAAGGGGTGGATAAAGTATGCTAGCGAGAGAATCAGTATACTTATTCTTAAAGTTTCAAGTGATTGTTAAAAGCTTGGTGCAATATAGAGTAATAAAGCCAGTAAAAAGCACGTCTGATGCATGCCAGCAATACTCAGATGCCGAATGTGTGTGTGTGTGTATGTATATAAGAATAACAGCAAGAATGATGCCCCTTATGCCACCACCGCCAATGCTGAGAACAGTAATTAGGTTACCATCTGCCGCAGCGGGTGGCTGCATGCTGAACCCAGCCATTAGGTGGTTAGCGAAAATAAAAAGAAACAAAAGGAATGCAGCCATTGTTTCAGTGTTTGAGGAGAGAACAGACGTAGGAGGAGCACCGCGAAGGAAAGAAATGAAGCTTTGGACTTGAGTGTCCTGCATGGATGTGATGGGAATTTATAGAAGTCCACCGTGTTGATCCATATGCATGTTTGCCAGATTGAAGAATGCCACAAATATTAACATCAATTTAGGATGAGTTGGGGTTGCGGGATGCGGATCAGTGAACCAGATTATATTGTGCAACCTAAATTCAAACAACAAATACAAAACAAACTATATAACCTATTTGATATACTTAAAAAAAAAAGTCTTTTTAGTCAGTGGCGGATTTTAGTGTGGGCACTAATAAGAATCATCACAAAATATATATTTTCATTGCACCAAGTAATATATCTTTTTAAATTACAACCCCATAAAATGGAAATGATAATTGAACAATATCATCAATTATTATCTGTGCGGTTTTATCTTTTAAAACCATTGTAAAATTTATTCATCCTTTATATTTTCAAAGATGTCATTTTTTGTTGAGGTAACTAAGCAATTATTCAACCAATCATCTCCTATGCAATTGTAAATTTCACTTTTTATATAATATTTAGTAGTTTTTGCTTTTCTTTTAAGAAACTTGTCCATAACTAACAACAAGTAAATAATATAATAATTAGCAAACAACTACTGATCCCTAAACTTGTATAAGTCATAATATTTCAAATTTTCACATAGCCTAAACTTGTTTCTCATATAATTAAAGGCAAAACATACCAACTGACTTTCAATTTGAAACTCAATGGTGTCATGTGGGCAGTTGCCACCATTTTGAGCATCATTTTTAAAGCACTGTGATCATAAATTAAAACTATTTTATATTGTTTTAGTATAAAAATCGAAAAGTAACTTTAAATTAAAAATACCTTTGATTGCAAAAATAAAAGAAATGCTTTTAACTCATAAAATTATTCAAAAAGGCATACAGAAGCACTATGTTGCGTAATATCTAAATAAAAACATTATTAAGAATATAAAGTAATACGTATAGCACATTGAATTTTACAATGCAACATTTAACCCACAATAATATGCATGTTATAATAACATAGAGAATATATCACTACATTACAACTTCCCTAATGACAATTGACCCTTAAAAGCATATTTTGTTTCTTTCGGTAGTCTAATAGATTTTAGAATTGGCCGCCTTTTCCATTTATATTCTTTAGGATCGTTTGTTTTCAACCTTAATAGTATTCTCAAATCTTCTAAAAATATTTATATCAGAAGAATTTATTCCTTTTACATGATTATACAGAGTAAAACTTGTCTATATAATAATAAATTGAGTTTTAAGTTCGAAGTAATCTGGTTATATTTTTAAATTCCAAAATCCTATACCTTTTTTTGCAAACTATAAGAGTGCATTTGTTCTGTAGAAAATAATTTTTTTAAAAATATTTTTCTAAACAATGATAATAAGAATGCTGTTAAGCATTTGAAATTAAAGGATGACAACATATTCAAAACAAAAATTAAAAAGCTATCCTATAAGACGATGTAATTTTTAACCAATATGATTGAGCAGCATATTTGAAAAGTATTAAATAACTTTCAATATTAAGGGTGAGCATCGGATCGGATCTGTCAGTTTTATCACTGAATTTCAACCGATTAGTTTACATAAAATACATCCAACCGAACCAAACCAAACCAATTAACAATTGGTTTAATTGGTTCGGTTTGATCGGTTGTCCATAACCCAGGAAACTGGAAAAATTACAGCAGATTTGAAGAAGCTCAACAATGTTTGCTACTCATTAATTACAACAAAAACTGAAAACTTTTTCAAATTAGTTTCCAAGTGCATTTATTCATAATTATGCCTAACTAGCCACTTTAGCAAAGGGCATTCCAACAGTTTCTTCAATGAGTGTTTGTCTTTTAAATTTCAGTTGTCTCTTTGCCAAACGCTTTTGCTTCTCTTCGTAAAGAGTCTCAGCCAGCCTACACAACATGGAGAAGTTCACACAAAATTAGCTCCTTTTTTGTGCGAAATACATTGAGAAATACAAAATTGTATATATACTTTTTTTTCAAAACTATGTCGGTATGTATTATTTATTCTACTAAATAATATTTTAATCAACAACGAACTAAATGTAGGCTAGTATCGAAAAATTTAGCCAAATTTGCAAGAAATTTTTCATAATACACATTTTTCTAATAAAAAGTAATTAATGAGTTGATACTTTAAAATGGATGGTAAAAATGGTTTTTTATGTATGTGTATTTGAAAGTGAATTTTAAATAACTTTATGTAGGGCTTTGCACCACTATATATATATAGAGAGAGAGAGAGAGAAGGGTAGCTTTGGTGAGATGAAGCTGGTTAGGAGACTTTAGCAAGCTTATATAATAATAATAATGATAATAATAATAATGTTAGAATTATTAATTAATGTAAAATATATACAAGTCCATGATTATATAAGCTTTAATCTTTTCTCAAAATTAAAATCAATAATGAATGGCATATGCTACAAATAAACTCTTTTAATATCAAAATTAAAATTATAAGCTGTAATTATTAACCTGTCAAGAGCTTCAGCATTTGTACCCAGCTCTGGTATTTTCTCAGGGACAAAAGTTGTCACATCCAACTTCTGAACTGTTTCATTTAGCAACTTTTGTCCTACCTCTTCCAGATAATCCAAATTTACTTTTGTAGCATTATCAAGTGAGTCAGCTGATGGATCTAAGTCATATTCCTGCATATATTAAAATATATATATATGTATATGAATCTAATAATGGCATTTTATAATAAATGTTTTTGAATATCTGTGTAATCTTTGATTTTAGTTAAAATTCAAATACATTAAACCAACCTCAATTCGAAGGTAGTTCTCCTCAGCTTGAAGACCTTGGAAAAAAGAGGCAAGGTAATAACTAGTCATATCTGCAGCAGCATGCAGAGAGACTTCAATAAAAGGGCCCAATGCCCAACAACTAGCAGGCCATTTTGCTGCAATTGTGGCATTGTACTCCTCTGTAGTTTTTGACATTCCAGTTCCTAATGATAGCAGTAGAAATTTTGCCCTACTATTTGCCTTCATTGCCTGTGTCACCTCATTCACAGCAACCAACGCCTAAAAATTTAACTTTATTAGATGTTATGAAATTTTATAAAATTAAGTGTATCGTTATAATGATTTCTTCTCTAAGCGCACACATCTTATAACATGGATCACCCTTGAATGGTATTAAATTCAAAAAAAAAAAATGATATGTACATAATGTTTAATTTCACAATCCATACACAAATTGAGGTATTGTATGTGCAACTTCTAAAAAAATTGTGTTATATATATATATATATATATAATATTACTCTAAACTATGGAACTTATCTTTTGGAAAGTGAACATAGAGTTTATTAGATTAATACTACTTGAACATAGATTTCACTTGTTTGGTACTTGTAAAAAATGGTTTAGTAACTTTTATAAAATTATCTAGGCTTGTTGCTATTTTTAATGGTATAGTGACACTTATAAAATTTCTTTCCTTAAAATTTTGAGCTAAGAACTTTGTATATATGTTAAATAACTTGATACTCTTCTTGTGATAGCATAATTGGTTTACCGGATTAGCAGCGGCGACACCACCATCAATTAAATTGAACTCGGTCTCTTTGTTCTTAAAATAAATGGGTGGAAAATATGTTGGAGTAGCTGATGTCCCTATGCTTATATCAGAAAGTAGGGCATCTAAACTAGGATGTACCTCCAGCTGCAACATCAAATTAGCACATACAATATTGTATTTGTGATTAGTAAATGATGCAAACAATAAATTCAATAACTAGGAATTAATTTGTATTGAACCTTAAAGCTTGAGAATATGGTTGGCTGCAGCAGCTTGATGTCAAAGGTAGGGATGACAACATTTGTCAATGCCTGATTCAGTCGTGTTTGGTTTAGTGTCTCGCATATTATTTTGTGTAGATACTTGCCATCATACTTGGGACCGGGTGTTAAACTATTCCATTCACTGCTTGCAAGTACACTAATGAACCAAGTGCTTCAACAAACCATATTGATGCAAAACTCAAACATACACTACTTTATATGATGACATCAATGGTGTGATGGCTATCACTATATAATATAGGGCAATATAATGAGCCTGTCTATTCCGAAGTAATAGGAGAGATTGAAGTGAGTTGCACGAAATTTAATCATAGCTGTTCAACTAATTAGATTCACTTCAAATATAATTGGATAGAAGTAAATTTTACAAAATATAATACAATCATTTAACTAGCGGAATCCATTATATAAATTCTCATATCACAGTACAAAACTATATCTTTTTGTAATTTATCTTTTAAATCCAAGCTAAAGATGGTTTATTTGTAACAAGTTCACCAAAACATGACTAAAGTAGCAATTCCAACACTGAAAATTGTAATTGTCGCATCAAAAATTTAATTAATTATTATGGTAAAACTTTATACTTAGTTTAGTTTCCTTATTGGATGTTACTTATAAGCAAAAACATTTCTCAAAATTTATATATACAATAAACTCCTACTTATTGTTTGAATGAAACAAATTAATAATTATACTAGTTCAAAAAATTAATTATGTAATTACTTTATAATAACTAAATATATTTTCTTGACAAACACACACTATATACACACACAGAAAAAACCTGTTGGTTTGATCGAAGATATGAGGGCCTTCTTGTTTATACAACTTTATGATTTCCTCAGCGGTGAACAAAGGACGATTGGAGTTATTTGGATCAGGAGTGGTAAGCATAGCAGTCATAAGGCCTCCAGTGCTAGTCCCAGCCACCACATCAAAATAGTCAGCTATCCTTGCTGTTGGATCCTTTTTCTGAAATTCTCAACCAAGAAAAATGTAGTCAAAGCATCAGGAGGTTGGTTTTCGTAACCCACATGAGAGTTCTCTACATAATTTTATACGACACTTGAAATCTTTATAGGTTATTATCTAATTCCAAAAGGATTGTATGAAGTATGTCAAGTTTGATGAGAGAATATCAGTATAATTGATTTTTAAAAGTTTCAAGTTAGGTTGCACAAGTATACGTATATGGGAACAGATATGTTAGTGTAGTAATTTTATAGTAAAACTTCTATTTAACTCTTATACTAGTTTCATATTGGATACAGATTGGTTGCTCAAAATATAGTTTAGGTGGTGCTTCACAGGTTTCGAATGATTGTCAAATGGTTGGTGTAATATAGAGAAATGAACTCCAAAAAGAGCACATCTGATGTACTTAGATGGCATGTATGTACCTGAAGGGCAGTCTCAAGGTATTTAAGAATAACAGCAGGAATAATGCCCTTTATACCACCTCCGTCAATGCTAAGAATAGTGACTAGGTTATCATCTGCCGCAACTGGTAGCTGTCTGCTAAATCCAGCTGTTAGATGGTTAGCCAAAACAAAAAGAAGCAAAAGGAATGCAGCCATTGTTTCAATGTTTGAGAAGAGAATGTACACAAAAGGAGTACTGTGAAAGAAAGAAAATAAAGTATTGGAACCTTGAGGATCCTGCACAGATGTGAAGGGTATTTATAGAGGCCCGTCGTATTGATTAGTATGCATGTTCGCCTAATTGAAAATGGGCTACAAACATTAACATCCACATGGGATGAGCTGGTTGGTGGGGAGGATATGGCCCACTAGACAGAGTGAACTAGATCATATTTTGTAACCCAAATTCAAATAACAAGTACAAAACCGGTATAAATTTAAAAAATGCTTTTTGAGTAGTATTTTCTTCATGGTTTTTGTCATAATTAAATTAAAATTATTTGTATTGTATACAATAATCTAAAGGTACATTTAAACTTAAAAATTTTTGAATTTAAAAATATAATTTTAACTGATAAAATTATTGAAAAAGGCAAGCAAAAAAGTTTTTTAACATAATGTTTGAATAAAAGATAGACATTAAAAATATAGACATATTACAACAAATTGATTTTTAAAAAGTTACGTTTAACACAAAATAATATGCATGTTACAGTAATATAGAGATGTTCACTACGCAACCACTTTCCAATGAATAAATGATTCAGTACTTGACCTGGCAATTGAGCCCCTAATAGCATCTTTTGTTTCTTTTATTAGCCTAATAGATTCTAGAGTTAGTCCTTCCCATCCATCTTTTCTATGAGTATTTATTTTCGAAGTCCACTATTACTCTCAAACCTTTGCTATCTATATTACAAGAATTCTTCTTCTTAAATAATTATAGTGACCAAAATGTGCCCATATAATTGCAAATTGATTTTTGAGCTTAAGGTGTGTCATATGTTGCAATATCCTTTGCCTTGCTTTGCAAGCTGCAATTTTTTTTTCAACGAAAACCGACACAAATATAATGCGGCCATAAGAAACTTCTAGACACCTCGGTTTAGTTAAACCCAAGGTGTGTCTGTTACTAATATGTTGCAATAATATAATGGTAAGATTGGAGAAGTAGCATCAATAGAGGGCATGCGAGGTACGCAGAGGAGGAAGTAGTTTTTAGATTCGAGATGATAATTTTTAATCATATTTAGATTGAGATATGTCTGTATTGATTCAAATCCAATCCATTTACAATCCTAGTTTATCCACACATAGGCTAATTATGGCGAAAACACAAGAATGGAGCTATCATTCTTGCAAATCAAGGATACTGTGACCAAAGAAATTCTTACATTCTAGGCTTCCGTGGGATTGGGATTCTTATGAGTTATTTGATATAAGAAATAATATGAGAAAGTTGGAAAATTTTCTGACAATAATGTATCAGAAAAATGTTAGATTTGTGTAGAAAGATTTGCTTCTGGGTTTTGGGCTTTTAGTTTCGTGTTTTCATCCTTCCAATGAGAGAGGTTAAAATGTATAAAAGTTTAGTCAACGTTTAGAAGTTAGACACAATTCAAATAGAAGGGTTTAATAGTTGCAATGTTAAAGTAAATGAAAGTGAATTGGTTTAATTAATAATCTAAGAGGGTAAGTTACAAGAGGACTAAGCACAAGAGGGTGTCTTATAATTTAGTCTTAATTTTATGAAAGGTTAGGAAATTCATGTTAGTGGGGTTAAATTTTGCCATTGGCTTTTGGTACAAATAGTGAGTGAAGTGCACGAAGACAATTTTGAGGATTCTGCAACTATGGGCCTAGTTAATAATGTCACGCTGTGCCTGTAGTTGTGGCTTGTACGCCATGGTGGAGGAGGAGGGCTCAAGAGTGAGATATTATAGATCACGATTTATTACCATTATCTTTTAAATGTTAATGATTTTTATTTTTTTATTTATATTAAAATAGTTATTCTGAGTTCCATAAATTTTTTATTAATTTTTCTCTCTTAATTCAATATTTATCCTTTTTTTTACTGCATTATTTACCTTTAATTCTTTAAATGTAGAAGACCCCATATGCGAGATATTTATATCTAAGAAAGCGACCCTTCATTCACGTGGAACACGCGACTCCATGGAGGAAATTTTAAGTAAAACCAGTCTCGAGGTAAAACGCTTCCTTCGCGCTGTATCGTGAGGACCCATAAAGGAAACTTCAAATAAAACTAATATTTTACAAATAAGATCGATGATCAAATCGATAAGGTCACCGGATTATGGTTCAACTAATTTGATAGTGAATCGAATTGATTAATAAAAAAATATTTAAAATTTAAATAAAAATTAATAAATTTAGTATAGTTAAATAATATATTTTCATTTACAATTTATACATTACTCAAAGTTATAAATGATACAATAATATTAATATATTTTTATTATTATCTGTTTATTTCAAAATTAAAAAACATATATAATTTTAATTAAAAATTTAAGAAATAATTTCTTTTGAGAAGCCAATTTTTACTAGTTTTTCATTTTTCATTTTTTTAAATTTTCTAATATCTAAATTAAATAAAATATATAGTAAAAAATAATCAATTTTTTTTTAAATGTATATAATTTTTTTTTTGGCGGGGGAGGGAGAGTGGGGAAAAGAGAGAGAATAGGTGGGAGTTGGTGTAATAACCTGAAATTTAAGAATTTAACAATTTAGGGGTCAAAGGGAGAAAATTGGAACTTTGTGGGGAGGGGGGGTGAATTGAAATTTTCTCAGGGACTGATCTGTAAAAGAAACAGAGTTGAAGGATTGAAATCGCAATTTTTCAAAATCTGACAGGAACAGTGTCTGGAAGTTGTTTCTCACTGATTAACCCATGTCGAGTAATGATTTTAGCCAATTTCTCACGCCTTTGCGTGTGTTTTTGAAGACTACCAAACCCCTCAAACAATTTAGTTTTCTGAACAAAGGGTGAGGAGTTTTTGAGAGTTCTGGTCGTCTGGTTCAAATTTTAAAATTTTAAAATATTAAACAAAACAATTCACATGGATATTGGACTCATGAAGGAAGGTTTAAACAAAATGAGTTATGATGTGATATTTCCTTCATGTGAACGCGTGGACCATGGAAAAAGCTTTAAACAAAATGAATCACTATGTGCGGAACATGGGAAGAAATCTTTTTTTTCCCTTTAAGATAAAACATTGGAGCTTAGATTAGTTTCATTTTTTAACCTTTACTAGCTACCTACGATTCACTAAACCTTTAATTTCAATGAGTGAGAAAGAAAAAAAACAAAAGTGATGGACTAATTTTGAAAACCTTATATTAATATTTACACCAAAAAATTAACAGACTATCATTAAATTTTACCTTATATCAAATTCAAAAAAAATTTGCTCAGAAGAAATTTTATTGGGTGGACCTTGAGTATTGTATAGAAGATATTTTTACTAGTCAATCCTTTAGTCAGTTTCTAAAGATTAAAGCATCTGAGCAATATGTCGGTGCATTCATTGCCGTACTTGTACAAATTCACAGTAGATGTTAAAGGTGTAACGCCAAAGAAAATAATTAAACCGGAAGCATTCAAACCCCACCAAAAAAAATAATTGAGGAGAAGATTAGGTGACGCTTTAAATTCAATCAATTACCGCACAGCTTTGTCAAAAGAAAAAGTACCACGCTCCCGATCGTATCAATATGCAGCAAAACACTCTGCAAGCAATCCTGTCATACAATAACACATTTGTACAAGCAAGTTGTGGTGGGGCACTAGTAGGTCGTCTGTTTCTAGACTTGATCTTTTATCATGATAAATTAAAGATAAACGATATAACAAGAGAGAGATAAATATAAAGTTAAGAGAGAAAAAAGAATAGGGAAAGAAAATAGTAGGATCAGAATTCTCTACCTTTATTTTTTTTGACTTTGTTAAGTTTTTATCTACCTCTCTAATTTATATCAACATAATTATTTTTAAGTATCACAATTTTTTTCACTAACTTTTTTTGGCTCTTAATTTTGTATCTATATCTTGCTGGATCTTCTATTTTTCTAATACAAAAGGCAGAGGATCTCGTCTGAAAATAATAGGATATAAAATATTATTTATTTTAATATAAATTAGATAGAGATAAATAAAAAAATCATGAAAAATGAAAATAGAAAATGCAAACCCTTTGTTTCCCCCACGGTGAGATACTTTTTCTTTTGACAAAGCCGTGCAATAACTTATCTCCAGACAAAGTTATGCAGCACTTTTAAATGGAGTTATGTATTTTAATTTTCCCACGTCTTACCATTAGTAAATTATACTCCCTTCCATTTTCTCAAGAATTTCTTGTTATGTTTTCAATATAGTAATATAGTTTGCACACCACCATCACCATCATTATCATCATTATTAACTTGTATTTTTGTCCTTGCAATATAATTAATATATCAATTATCAAGAGATGTGTTGTAGTTCCCTATTAATTAGGAAGTTATAATGTACACTACAATTTGTATGCAAATTTCTACTGACAATTATTTAATTAAGGTTAAGGTGACTCATACACAATTAAATAGTAGGAAAAATGTTATTTTCACTAAATTTTTTAAACTAAATACTCATAAAGTTTATTATAATGTATTAATCTGTTAGGTACTACAATTAAATTTATAGGACCAATAAATAACATAGTAATCTAATTTTTTTAAGTGACTATTTAATAAGATGTTATTTTTGGGAATAAGAGGATGGTAAGTAGTATATTTAGGCTTACAAACTTACAATTTTATGCCAAGTGAAAAAGTGGTTTCTATTGGTACAAAATTATAAACGATAATGTTGTCATAATTAATATGAATATCATATTGTAATTTGTTAATTATAATGTATAACTAGCAAGAGGCCAAAACAAATAAAGTAAGGACAAAACATTGGATAAAAGAGACTGTTTTGTTCACGTATTTTTAAAGCTGTGAATGCAATCGCCTAATTTAGGGATATTTATGTAATTTCAATAATATAATGACTTAATCGAGTGGATTGGAACTATCAGGGACTAAATAGTGAAAAATCAAGAACTCGAGGACCAAATCAAAGAAAATCAGAAATCTTTAGATTTTGATAATCCTTTGAGATGGATATCTAAAATTTGAGCAAATAGTAAATGATTTGCTCGAGATTTGATTAAATATAGGTGTAAGTGTGATGGGTGAAGGAAATCTCTCTATTTATTTCATGTAATTGATAGAAATTTTAGAAATTTTCTTAGAAAATTTGCCCGACTAAGGACTACG